GCCTCGTCGCCACCCTCCTCGGCCTTGTTACCGAGCTCGTTGGCGACATTGTCCCTGGCGTTGTTGACATCCTCTCCAACGTCCTCAACACCCTCTCTGGCACTGCTCTTGGCCCCATCATCAAGCCCGTTTCCAACATCGTTGGTGGTCTTACCGGCTACGTTGCCCAGGGCACCACTGGTACCAGCGCTTAAGAGGTTCAATTGGCACGATTAGTATATGTCTTTCGATAGGATCAAGCGTAGAGTTTAGACATTAGCCCCGGCTCAAATTCTTAATTCAATGGTGTATTAATTCTCCAAATTCTATGATTATGTGCTTAAGTGTATCCGTTACTCATTCCCTCGTGATCTGTCAAGTGTCTCATCTCAATTACACACGACCTTGTAGCTGCCAAAGGAACTCAAAGTGGCACGGCACTGTCCATCCTTGATGTCCTTCTTTCCACGCTTGCAGTTCTTGTCATGGTAGAGAATCACTAGTAAAGATCAGTCTCGTGTGGCTTAATGGCTTGATGTTACTTACATTTGCAGTTGTAGGCGTGCTCGTTCTGCTTGACGGATCGAATCTCGTTAGAGAACTTGCGACACTTGCCATCCTCATCGCCGTGGAGGGTCAATTCTCCTTCGTTATGGTCGTTGTTCTTGGCACCGCAGTCTCTGTCACCCCAGATGCGAGCAGCAAGGACATTGGCGTTGGGTGGGGGTTTGGCGGCAGGATCGGCAACGACGCCCATGGCGAGGGCTGTGAGGGCAGTGAAAGCGACAGCGAAGTGCATATTGAAGGTGTTGATTAAATAATTTGTAAGGTAGAAGATTAAATATTGTGTAATTGGAAAGACTGCAGATGGTGTTGGTGATGCTGATAAACTGAGGGGAGACCGTTAACCTTTATACCTCTCCGTGTATGATACATGTTCGCATCGTGTTTGATAATATGAGTAACGGAGCAGCATGAAGCCATCTCCACTACGTCACCTTTTTGGGGCTGTAAAGAGTGTCGGTGTTTTGGTCGCCTCAAAAACCTCGGATCACCGAAGGATACGAGCGTTGTTGTCAGCACTAACCAGCGCTGGGTTCCTTTGCCGCTCGTATTATTCCGGCGCTGTTTTACAGACGCAACGCGACACTATCGTATGGTAGTAACTCTTGACTGTATAGTTGGTTGATGAAGGATTCGATACTAGACATTTTATAGAGTATCGTATGGTGATTTGGATGTTTGTAGATGGCACGGCATGCATTGCCCGCCATTTCCAGCAGAAATGTCTCAACCTTGACGAGCAGACGTTCTAGAACGTGGTTCCAGATACGAATATGCATATATCCTGTGAGAATTTTGCGGTATTGGCCAGGGCTATTACAGATATCTCTGCTTGTTGCACCCGTGCATGACTTAGACGTCCATTGGCTTCGTGACGTGTACGGACCTACCGGCAGCCTCATCCGCTAAATTTAGCATAGCATGAATTCTCGGTATTTCCGCACCAGCCATCATCCTTGCCGATGACCCGATGAATAAGCAAACAATGAGGAATCTTTGATGGTACACTAATGGCTTAGACGAGCCACATTCGGGCATTTTCTGCTCGTGTTGTGGATGTGGAATTGTGCGAAGACATGTGTCTTGGCGGGTACGGGTGATCTCCAGCACTAATTAATAGTGGCCGCTTGTTAAAATAGTCACCTCAGTCCGCTTACATGCCATCAGCATGTCAGAAGACTTGGCCAGTGAGAGCATAACGTACCTAGGACACGAAATGATTTGACCATCTTA